TTCGTTTGAATACTCGTTGCCCCCTTGAGCAGCTTCACGACCTTCTAATTCAGCTAGTAGGTCATCCACCGTGGCTTTAATGAGCGTCACTCTCGGTTTGCTTCGGTTGTCATCGCGGCGACGGTCATCACGCCGGTTGTTGCGGGCGTACCCATCGTCGCGTCGCGTATCACGACTCTTGGAGTATCGGTACTCACTGTCACGCTTGGCCATTCTCTCCTTGCCCTTGAGAACATCTTCGATGATCTCTTCGAGCTCGTGAATGTCGGCGACTCGAGCGTGGTAGAGACTCTCCGCTAGCTTGTCATCGTCGCATGTTGCCAGGAACTGCTGTACGTGTTCTTTCGCGTCGCGACCACTCTTCTCAAAGTGTAGACGGGCGGTCCGAGCGTAGCCATTCAGCCTGTTTATGTAGTCGCACAGATGTTCATTTCGTTCCCGCTTGGCGGAGTAGTAACACGACAGTGCCGTCTGAGTGAACTGCGAGCAGTAGTAGCGGATGAACGCATCGCTCAACAGCTTCCACTTGCGCTTCGTCTTCTTCGGAAGTTGACGGAACCAATGAATGGCTCCGTCCCGGAGACTTAGCTCATATGGAATGCACCATTTGTCGGCATCTGTGTGGGCTCCAGTCATTTCATAGACGAACCCACGCAGCCACTGCATACAGCTCTCGCTCTTGTTGCGAGAGCCTGAGAACGGCGTGATGCGATCCAGCGGTCGGTGCGAAGTCATTTCAATCCTCGGTGTTGGGTCCACGTCGTTCAGCGTCGCTAGCTCATTCATCTGACGCATCAACTCGAGTTGAGGATCTTCCTCGTCGAATGTACGCACCAAAATGTCATCGTCACTGGACGAACCATCGCTGTCGACTTGACGACGTCCGGCACCATCTTTGGGAGCTCGCGCACCGCCTCGGCAACCGAACGAACCCTCGTTACTTGCGTAAATACGTTGCATACGGCTCTCCGAACGTGGCGTAACCATGTGCGAGTCTTGAAAGTACGGTGAAGCTTCGGTAGTGCCAAAGGCACCACGCTCAGCTCCACGCTTGGTCGGAGGAGTACGAACGAGTCGTTGGGGCGTCGGCGGCAGTGAAATCTTGGACGGATCTTCATCTTGAATCATCGGTCGACTCACAGGCTGCTTTCCGGCATTGATGCCAACGGCGCCAAACGCCTTCCGAAGCTTCTTCTTCCATTTCTGGAGAGCAGCTCCGGCTTCATGTGGACTCCAATCCTGGAGCGACATCGTCGATGGGTACGTCTCGTTCTCGAAGCCCAGCGACAACAGTAGCGAAACTGAATCCTCGGCGACTTGGGTAGTCGAAACCGAGTTGACTGGGCATTGAAGTTCCTGCGCAAGCGCAGGCCAGTCGGCTTTTTTCTTGGGGATGGGCTTGAACAGCTGCATCCACTCATCATTCTGCATCAGCGCTTGTACGCGGTCAAAAACGCGCTTGGCGGCTGGTGTATCACCGTTGATAGGTGGGCGAGGTGCTTTCAGCAATGCTGAATGCTTTTCACTCGCCACCGAAGGTTAAGAACCCTCGGTTCCATTGTCATAACCTTAATAAGCCGGTTCCGGTCCCGCAACGTCATCTAGCTCGTCGGCGAGGCTCCTCGAAAGGGACTTGGTCGTCCCGCTCGGCCCCAATGATAGCGTGGCCGTCTCCGGTATCGCTGCGACTGGCTCTGGAGCCGGCGTCTTGTCCTCGTAATATTCATAATCGTGGGCGTCAGGACCGATGTCTGTCTCGTCGTTAAAGCTCACCGAAAGCTCGGTGGCGGCTGCAAAGCGTGCATCCGAGCTTGAACTCTCGTTGCGAGCCCCGCCTGACTTGGCAGGCGTAGCTGGTACCGTCGGCTGTCCTTTCGCCATGCTTCTTGTCTTTTTCTTGTTCTTCTTCTCTTGGTAGCTCGTAAACTGGAAGGCCATACAAACAGTTCACAATGGTCACAATCTGTTCCCGGGTCGCGGCACCAGTTGTGGTGTTGGAAATCCCACGTGAACTCTAGCTACAAATGCAGTTAGGACGTTCCCACAACAATACGTCTACTAGGATAGTAAACGATCGCTCGGGCGGACCTGAAGACCCCAGTTCTGCCCTTGCACCGGGACAAACTGGACCTTGTCAACTACTTATATAGACCAACCAGTAAAAATAAGAACACGCTACTAGCACGAGCAAAGCTAGCAGGTGTTTTGAATCCTCGTGGTCCCAACAGCGGAAGGGTGCCAGGCACGGGTAAGCCTTTTACGAGATCACCGAGTGTTCAACACTCGGTAGGAAGAATAAAAGGGAGGCAATCCAAGCACTCCCAGTCGTGCAAATAGGCAACAATAAGCCGTCACGTAAAACCTCCCGATAATAATCGGCCAATACACAAAGTCTCTTGGCCTTGCCGGATGAACCCTCGCTACAGAGCTTCGAGCTCACCGACAGGCATAACACACTCAAACAAGCTTGACCTGACGCTTACCTTGAAGCCGGACGTCGCTCTGTGTGCTTGAGTGGAAATTCTGTTCTGTATTTAAGCTTACCCTTTCGGGCCTATTCCTAATAAGAAGTCCTAATCAAGTATACAAATATCAAGTGAACAATGATCCGTTATGGATCTTCTTGCATGCCAAGCGTCGTCTGCACCGTCGCATGAGCATCTTTAACGGTCCGCGCCTTGTCCCAGACGGTGAACGTGCCTTCCAAGGGTCGCTGAGTCTTCCGCGAACTCATCCCAACCGCCACTGAGGGTTCGTACCGTAGATGGTCCGCTGAATGCGAATCCGGCCAGTCCATTATTAATAATAAGGACAGCCTGGATTCAGTGACATGTGCCCGTATCCAATACTCGTTGAACGTTCGGAGGTGACGCCGTCGAGTCCCTTGCATCTTGGAGTCTCCGTACATCACCTGACCGAGGGTTCGTCGCTTGAACAACTTGGGCGGTGTCACGTCTTTGTCGACGGGTGATAATCCGCAACTACGGAGAAATCACTACACCACAGTTCCTTCGATTAGTCGACGTCTCCAGTCGATCTGTGGTTGCGTGTCCTCAAGAAAAGGTATTCCAAGAATGCAGTCAAATTCTTCAGGTATCGCGTAGACAACTGCGACGCATTCATACGCCTCGTCTATTCCAGCGACAAGGATACGTAGAGGTAGCACCTCTAGCTGGGCCTCCACAATCTGATTGTCTCCTAGCTTGACTCGAATGTTCTTGTCGCTGAACTTCGTTGTCTTCAGCTGGTGTTCTTCTACCCACCGCTTCGGCACGTAGATCGTGGTTGCACCACAGTCTAGAAGCATCTTCGATCCTTTCTTCATCTTGCCAGCCACACTGATATCACCGCCGACGGCGAACAGTGGACGTGACTTGTAGACTAGAGAATTTTCACACAGAACATTAAGGCTGACATTATCAAACTTAACTGCTCCAGTTACTTTCTCCTCCACGGCAGGACCCTCTTTTACTGTCGTGTCTTCTCGTTTCCCTGCTTCCCTTGCTCCTTCTTCCACGCAAAGCAGTTGGCCTTGATGTGGCCAGGTTTGTTGCAGACGTGGCAGGTACGAGTCTCCTTGCTCTTCAAATTCAAGCTCGGTTTAAACCGTCCCTTTCCTTGGAAGGGTTTTCCTTTGAACGCTTTCTTGTTGTCTTGAGGTTGCTCATTAGAGGTCTTCGTCTTCTCATGCCGAACCTTGCGCTCACTAGCGTCCTCCACAAAGTGAGTCACCTCAAACTTGACAGCTAAGTCCATGGCGTTACTCAGTGTCTCAGGATTCTCGAGCCTCACGTAGCTTCGTGTGCGAGGCTTGAGACCGTTTGCGTAGAACAGGACTTGGTCAAGCACGCTCATGCCTTCGACTCGAAAGATGAGGGCTGAGTATTCACCGTTGTAAGTCTCGATGTCCGCTGTCTGCTTTAGACGCTGGAGCTTATCTCGTAGCACTGACTGGTAGCTCGACGCCTCGAAGTGTTGGAGCACATGCTCACGGAAAATCCCCCCACGTGTGCTCTTCCACTCGCGTCGTCGAAGCCCAGTGCAGGAACCACCCCGAAGCCGGTTTCTCCATCGCCGACCCGGTGATTCGTGGGTTCGCGTCGTCGATTGCGATTCCGTTAATGCGGCAGGCGTTCTCGACCTGGAACAGCCATTCGCGCACGTCTTGCCGGTGAGCTTGGGCAGGTTGCTGGGCACTCGTGTGCGTTCCGCCATCGCTTGATTCAGCCGGTCGATCTCGGCTTGAAGCTACGCGTTCGTTGGCATGGGCTCTTTATTGTCAGTATGCTGGGACCAACAAGTGCTACCAGTTTATCGAAGTCAGGGGAGCTTGGGGGAGAGCGCGCCAAAAGAAAAGTGCCGATCCCGCAGTTCAGACGGATGGAAGCATCTAGAAACTTCCACAGCCGTCCTACATCAGCCTGTTTATTAACTACAATACTATACATTCCATAGTACTACTAACAACCCATTGCAATAAGATAATAATATCACCCAATCGGATACAGCTTGCCTTTCGTAATCTAGTGATTCTTCAGAACTGGATTGCGAATCTGCACTGCGAACCGAGATCTCCCTTCCCGAGCTCAAGAAACTTGGATTCGTGTAGCTAGAAAACTTTGCCTTGCACACGTGTCCAAGCACCACGATAACCATCCATTTAGCTACTTGCGGTGAGTATAATCGCGCGACCATGTTGCAACGGCAAGTGCACGTCATAAGAACCATGTAAAAAACTTTAAAAAATGTTTGGTTTAATTGCCGAAAAATTGAAAAATACCAATATGTATACATGCATAAGCTGTAGCATCCGCCAAAAAAACTGTTTTTGTATTGCCAGCGTAAGCCTAGTTATGGTGCGCTTATTATGTTTTCGGGCAAATCTAACCCAAATATAACGGACTGGCTGCGGTCCTGTTGCACCAAGTGAGAGCCGCCACCTCGCCACCCTGTACGGAGCGAAGGTCGCGAACGCCAAGATCGTACGGACCATTAGCAAGATGGATATCGTCACCACCTCCAACTTTCACGCCACACTACTGCCAGGTGCGTCCGTCTACAGTCACAAGTCCCATGCGTGTCTAGCAGTTGTACACTTCGATGGGAACACGCTTTTATTACAGTCTCCTATAGAACTTCAGCCACCAAGCAATCGAGCAGCTACTCCGATTAAAAGACCTGCTACAGCGTCGCATCGAAACGCTGCTGACCTTGTCCATGTTGCGCAGGACTCGTGAGTGTCGTGTTCGTTTCGGCTGAGCACATCCGCCACGGCAGCTGGCCGCTGCTCAAGTGCGTGAGCTGCTAATGTGCGCGTACCAAGAGGTCAACTCAGTATATCCCATGATTCCTTACCTGATGTGTTTATTGTGTCTGTTGTCTGCCAGTCTTCTGTTGTACAGCGGCTGCAGCTTTGACGAGAATGAGGGCGGTTGTCTTCGTACCGAGAGACACGTGTGCCGCTCCAAGCAGACCGAGATCTTCTCCATCGTGTCGGATCGCGAAGGCACCACTCTCTTTATGGATCCCAGCGGCGTTGACATGTTCAAGCACGCGGTGCGCGGCACATGCCGATTTTAATGCGGCCATTCTTTTTGAGATTATATTAATGTTGCTTGATGCTTTGTTACAGGGCATGGAGGGCCTGATCACTGTGGCACCGCAGTCGTGGAGAGCTATTCAGGTAACTTTCTCCACCGTTGAGACTACTAGTGGTAGATAGACATGGTGGACTGATTGTGTTGGCTTTGGCAGATCCACTTGGGACCGATGGTGGCAGAGTTCCCAGGTGTCGTGAGTTTTCTGTCAAAACTACTGGCCGACGATCACATCAGTATCCTCAACATGAGTACCTATGATACGGACGTCATATTTGTCCAAGAGCTCCACCTGGAGGCTGCTATCTCGTGTCTGCAGTCTAAGTTGTCGCGGGGATTGCACGGCTTGAAGGAGGTACGCGTCTGATTTGCATTATATAGACATGACTTGCTGGTAAAGTCAACCATTCCGTGCAAATGATCGCAGGCTAAGGACGCGGAAAACGCGCTCTCTGACCGTAAGCCCACATCAAGTGATGCAGCTGAAAGCTGTGAGGAGGCTGCTAGCGCTTCTCGTGTGGGAGACGGCCAGTATCTCAGAGGTGCATAATTTGTTTCCTCACCTGTCATCGTATGCTAACCACAGTCGATTCTTTTGCAGTGTACCCGGACTCGCTTGTTCTTGTGAGACTTCAGAAAGACGCTCTTCGGGTCAGTGCCTACGGACTCACACAGCTTGTGCTGTTGTCTACTGGAACAGTATCAACCGAGAATGAAAGTGAACCACTAGAAGACACAGGTAAAATGTCTTTCTGGTGTTTATGTGAGACGGCTGAGGAGGTGAGTCTCATCATGGACGAGCGCTGCTTGTCATCCTTCGAGAAAGAATCGCTGATAGTGTCACCCGATCGATGGCGCGCGATCAAGCTTAGTGGACGCGCATACGGCTTCGATGAGACTGGTGTAGTGGCAGTCATGTCTGGCTGCACCACGGACGCGCAGGTTCTTAATGTGAGCTGCTTCGGGTCCAACGTGGCTTTCGTGCTCGACGACATGCTGGATGCTGCAATCGAGACTCTGTGCTCAGCACTGGAAATCTCTCGGGTGGAGAGATAATTTTCGAGCAAATAAAGAAGAAAAAAAAACATTTGCACGTTGCTGTAGCACTGTGGAAAACAGGTACTTGTACAGTAAACAGTTAGGAGCATCACACGAAAAAGGGGTTTCGTCACCTGTGTTTTTGTGTGGGAGCCTCGACAACCCTGTACGAGGAAATATTATCAAGAGAACCCCATACGTTGTTCAACAAGCACGTGTAAATTTTGACAACCAACCGTCGGAATGCTGCCTCGTAACCAACGCGGTCACGACATCTTCCAAGACCCACTGGTGGGGACTGAGCACACCTCCAGCGAAACCTCTTTCTTACAGCTCTACACCCTCCTGTTTCCGCTTCTCCGCAAGCAACATAGTCCGTCTCTCCTTCAATGCGCCAAGTTCACTTCTGATGTCGTTCCGTCGGGCATTAATCTTGCGTAGAGCGTCGCCCTCAGGTTTCTGTCCCAGACTTTTCGACACAGAAGCTTGCTCCTCCTTCAGCGTCTTAATCTTCGCGTCTACCTCACTAAGCGCCGTCTCCATCTGTAGCGATCACACACATAACGAGCATCATTATTCAAGTCTAGCAGATGTGCTGATCCACCCTAGAGCATACCTTCTTCTTCGACTTGAACTTCAGGTCAGCCTTCTTCTCTACCACTTGGTTAAATAGTGCCTTGCTCTCCTCTTCGACGACGAGACGATGCTGGCGCACCGCTTCCAGTTTCGCGTGCAGCTGTCGCACCTTATCCATTTCAGTTTTCAGATCCTTGGCGACAGGGTCCTGTGAGTCCATATTGGCCTGAGCCTTGTGTTGCTCCAGTCGCTTCTTTGCATCCTCCACGGCGGCGGCAAGTTGTTTGTTGTCTCGCTTGTAGCGCATACGTGCAGTTGCAAGAGCCTTCGCCTTCTCCTCAAGTGCCTGGTTCTGAGCTGCCGTTGCTGCGTTAAGTGCTCGTTGCTCCTCGTTCTACACACCCAAACGGGAGTTAGTTCCTGTCCACATTAACACCGCGTGTCAAAAAGTAAAGCACCTACCGCCAGCATATCCTTTTCAGTCTGTCAAGATTGACAACAACAATACAGCACCATCCAGATTAGAGATCCATCAAATTCACCAGCAGTTTTAGGCTCCAAAACGTACCGCTTCCTTGCGCAAAGCCTCTACTGTAACGCGATGCCCCGATACACTAGATTGAAGCGTTTCATTCTCCGCTTGAATTTTCTTGTACTGCGCCACAAGCGCATCAAATTTCTTCTGTTGCAACGTAAGTTCCCTCGTCTGCTTGTCATGCTGGGCACGAAGATCTTTTTCCAACGATTTCGATCGCATAGTGGCCTCCTTGATCTGTTCCTCCAGGTTGGCAGTTTTCTCGCGCATCAATTCTTCTGTGGGCGCATTTGTCACATCGTGGGCGTTCACCAACCACATGACGTCCGTCAGACTGATGCTCTGATAGTCTTTTGTGTTGTCTTTTTTTCCACGATGAGCAAAGTTCACGTTTACACGGAATCCTGTTTGGGTCTTTTGAGCAGTGCGCATGAATGGGTCGTCGTTATCACCCAGCATATAGTCGTCGCCTTGTCCATTGCTTGAATCAGCCCAGTTATTAGAGGTAGCTGACGACGCTAAAGACTTTGATCCATTTGCATCTGTTGGAGACTGGGGAGTGTGTTCTTCTACTGGCTGGCGATAACGGATCCATCGACGACGACGCACTGCGTCTGTGGGGTGACGGGAAGCGTGACTTAGATCATCCCCGAGTAAACGTACAATCTCCACGAAATCTGCTGCATATGTCCACCCATCGCGATCCACTGCTGTATAATTCTGATCAATTTCCCAATCCGTGACCCACTCGTGACCTGCAGGGAGATCACCCTCGGGCCTTTCGTCTTGTCCTGCACCTGGTGCCGCGTGGCGATCACTGAAGCGTTTAGGGTCCATTGGCTGCAGCTTTCCTTCAAGACGCTCGTTCTCAAAGATCTCCACGACGACTTGACCATCGCGATCGATGTCCTGTGAGCCCGACCCTCTCGACTGTGTGCCTGATTTACCCCCAGGGGTGACGTTGGTGCTCTGTAGCGACGTCTGTAAGCTTCTATTGGCCTGGTTGACGAGTGCTACCATACGCGAGACACCGAAGAAGCCTCCACTAGCTGCTTTGCCACTATTGGGCGTGTCCAAACCTGCCAGCAACAATAAATCACAGTCAAGTGAGCGAATATACAGGAGGCCGGGGCGCTGAGCTCCGCCTACGCTTAGTGTCTGCCCCAGTGGGCCAGTTCCATTGGGTTTGGCCCGAGGCAATGTGTAGATAATAACCCCTCCCGGAATTCCGGCTGCTAACCAGTCGCCATCCCCGGGGCATATCTTTACTAGAAGAGGATGAAGTACCTGTAGCTCCTGAGGCTCCGGTATTGCCCGAGCTTGACGCGTGATTAGCTGCTGCCGTGGCCGCTGCACTCTCGACACTGCTGTTGCCTGGGAGAAGACTCCCACCACTGCTGATACTGCTCATGGCCGAGGCGGCGGCGCCGAAGATGCTGGAGGTTGTGGTGGCACCGCCATTGTTGTTATTGCCCCCAGATCCACCCAGACGCAGGCGCGAGATCATCCTGACAGAGGCTCAGAGAGGGGCGTGGAAGACGGGGAGCACTTGCAGGGCTTCCTGCAGGCTCGGTTGATTGAAAGTAAAATTGGAGTGATGGTCACTGCTTCTCCAAATCCTACAAAATGGTGTGGCAAACAAAGTTTTATTTCTGATGCTCGATTTTTAATAAAAAGAGGTCGTTTTATTAAATCGAGATCTTTAAAAAGTAAGAACAAATCGATGTCTGCCTCTTCCCGTCTCATTTTTACGCGTGGTTTTGTGCGCTCGATCTAGGCTATAAAACGGTTGGACTTTCATTCCATACAAAAATCCTTTACTTGCCTTCCACAGTCAGAATACGACCATACGGTTGGCTGAAAAGACCATTTTCTTTTAAACTTTCCGCATACGGTACTGGACTCAGTACACACATAAGACACTCAGAAAATTTGAGCAAAATCGGATTTAAAACAGAAAAGTTAGATTTAAAAAACCTCTCGATGTCGACGACTGTTAAGTACTTCGAAGTAGGTTGTTTTAAAATGCATGCACTTAGCCTATGGGTGCCTTCCATAAATAGCATAAGCACGTGTCATATTTGCAGCAGATATGTCAAAGTTTAAGATGACATAAATTCTCGTGAGACGTATATTTGGTCTCACGAGACGCACCTACCCCTAGATTTATGTCGTGTAGCCATCTTAAAATTTAATATAGAAATTTGTAAACTTTATGTCGACCATCACTCTGATAGAAGCCAGCGACTTAAACTCTGGCATAAAGCTCCGCAACTTCAAGTTGGCCATCACTTTCGATTTCGGCCAGAGGCGAGAAGAGGTGGGTGACAAGCAGTAAAGTTTATGTGTTGTTATTTAACGCTCATGTATGTGTCTACAGGAGACATGGTGCATCTAAGACACCCCGGACTGCACTGGAAGGTTCGCTGCGTGCTTGACAGCGACGACGAGAATACTCCTCCAAACGTCATGCAGGGCAGGGCATCGCCGGAGACCAAGGAAGTACCCGATAGCCAGAGCACAGAGTCCGATCTGGCGTCATCAGGGACTGCTACGCCTCCATGGTTATCGCCCGGACGTGCGTAAATTGCGAAGTGACGTACAAGAAGAGCTTCACCCTGCTTGTGTCCCATTCGAAGTGTCGGGTACGCTTCCATATAATGAGTTCGGTCTGTGTAAGATCTACGTAGCGACATATAAACAGGACAGAGGTCTTTGAGATATGCCTCATTTATGGTATTTGTGGTGGACGTTTTGATACTTAAGCTCAGCATACATGTAAAGTATGACAGGCTTATCTGCTGCAAATATGACACGTGCTTATGCTATTTATGGAAGGCACCCTATCTGGCAGACAGTATCTGTCAGGTAGTTTAAATACATGTACATTAATTCAGGTACATGTAGATGCTTAAAAGACAGATTCAGTGCCCGCTTTCGTTTAGAGTGCTTAAACCGCGATTCGTACTTAGGTTCGTAAGTATCATTTTGTTTTGCGTGGTCTCATATATTAATGACAGTGTCACTATTTTGAACTGACACTATTTTATGTGTGGTACTGTACAATTCGTGTCACTTATCGGCTGTGACGGGGTCACACAGCACCTTGCGCTAGAGGAAGCTGGCTTCCGAGAGTTTACAAACTCTCAGTGAACGGCAGTTCACAGGTCTCCTTTTGCCGAAAGGGAGCGAAGTAACCAATTTAAGGTAGATTGTAAACCGAGTATATTTAAAGGTAGATAAAGCTTGGGTCTAATACAAACTATAAGTCACCTATAGAAATGCAATGTCATCAACCAATGGTTGGCTTTGGACGACCTTGGTACTTTGTACCAAATATCCCGAAGTATGACACGTCACACTTCATGTAACCAGGGTACACTTAGGGCTACGTACCCCGTTACATTCTCCCCCACTTAGGTTCCATTTACCGACCAATCAGAATGAAGAGGTGTTCGTCACAAACTTTCATTCTCAAAGTCGAAAACCATCGACTTGGCCGCGCGAGCGCGGCGGAGCCTCACTTCACAGTTAGAGCCTCGAGCAGCAATCTGTGCGCTCTTCGTCTTGGTCTCCGCTTCGACCGTTAACCATGTCTCGTGACACTGCAAGGAGCGGTGCGAAGACACGCTTCAAGGCTGCTGCCGGAAAGGCGCAAGCCAAGAGCACTAAGCCTCACGGCAAAGGCTCGGCACTTCAGAAGGCTACTCAGGCGGCCTCCGAGGCGATCGGTTCATCGGCCGACAAGGCTGTGGGCAAGCGAACAAGCAAGCGCCGCAGCCCGTCGCCCTCAGCTTCTCCAGACAATCATCCAAACCCTCGGTTCGTAGAACGTGAGTTCGACTCTGGCAGTGAGGACGAAGCCGAGTCCGAGAGCACGCACGATGCTCCTGCGGGCTCTGCGGAGGGGCATAGCCCAGTGCCCAGTGAACACAAAGACGATAGCGTGCAGTCGCTCTCTAGTGATCAAGGTGATCACAGTCCCAGGACGTCTGTGCGCTCTGAGAGTCCGGCCGTCAAAGCTAAGGGCACTCCCAAAGCTGCCAGCGATGAGGATGAGAATCCCCGCAAACGTCTCTCGCTTGCCGAGGGTCTTGCGCGTGCTAAGGCCGCTAAAGCCGAAGGCGCCCTCTAAGAAGCGTACGGCTTCGAAGTCTCCACTCCGTAAGGAGAAGGAGACTGGGTACTCCCATCGGGGCCTCTTCGATTTCTCGGATGAAGAGGACGAGAAGGAGGAGGAAGAGGAGGAGGAGGGTGCAATCTCTGAGCCCAGGGAGGTCACGAATGACCTCGACCAGCAGCAGGAGGACTTCCAGGCTGCCCAGCGTGTGCGTGGGGGTTCGGTGGTGGCACCCGTCAGCCAGAGAGCTATCATCAACTGAAGAGGGTATTGGCCTCCCGAGGAGAGCTCTGGGGCTGACCTCTTCCTAGAGCTTCTCGTCGCTCCTCGTGGCCTTGTGGGCGCCTAGGGGCATTTACGAACGTGCCCTTGTTCAGAAGGAACAGTTGTTCGCTGACAACTTGGAGGCTGCTCGGTGTGTGCTTCTCGCGCCACACCGCATCCCCCTTAAGGACTTTACGACTTGTCGCAAGAATCCCGAGAGCCGGGGTGGTCTCTACCCTCTTTGGGGCTACCCCTGGGCTCTGCCCGAGAACTGCCCCACCTGGAGTTCTTGTGAGGACATGTTCTGGGCTGGGGTGGAGTCTCTCAAGTACTCACCCACGGAGTTACGGGAGCTCCATGAAGGTCAGCTGCTGTCCCGCATCCTGGACCAGCGTGATCTTCGTGTTCGGTTTTGCCCACTTGGTCAGCAAGCGCATGCTGCCAAGGGACATCCTGAAGCGTGCGGCTTCCAGCGCTCACGATGAGCGCGGGTACGGAGTGTATTCAACGTCCGTACCTCGTTCGGGCAAGAAGCCCCGGACTACTTATGAAGCTGCCGCCGCTTCTGTTCCCAGATTGCGACAGCCTTCGGGCAGTCAATCAGGAGCCGTTCAATCGGCTTCCACGAGTTCTCGGAGTGGGCATAACCCCTCCACTTCACAAGGAGCTGTCGCTTACCGCGACGCCGTTGCTCCTGGAGGATCCGCTCCACGTGGAAGTGGACTTCTCCATTCCGGTCAAGCAGGGTCGGAGGTGCCCTCGTAAGAGTACGAGTACTCGGCGCCTCCCGAGCGCCACTCTCGTCCGAGTGCTCCGGCTGCGGGTCCGACACAGGGCCCTGAGGTTGACCGCCTTCGTCAACGTGTCCTCGTGCTGGAGATTGCACTTGGCCTTGGGACTGGCGGTGATGCTGCCGCCCAGGCCGGGAGTCAGGGCGAGCTCGCTCGTCTTGCGGGCTGCCTGGACCTGTTGTAGCGAGAGGTCGCGAGCCTGCATCTGCGAGTGGATCGCCGGGCCTCTTCGTCCGATCTGGACGAGGCCTTTCGCATGATCCGACGGATCGTGGCTCTGCTGCCGCGTCCGGAGCCGCCTGCGGCACACTCCCAGACGTACGCGTATGGTGCGTACCCGACGTACTCAGCGTACTCGGCGTATGGCTCCGGGGTCCGTTCGTACGGAGCCCCTCCGGCGTACGGTCTTGACCGCAGCCTTGCCGTTCCGACCGAGGCTTGGGTGCCTGCTCTGACTTCTTTGTCGACGTCTGTGGCCCGCCCTCGCTTTGAGGAGCTGGGCCAAGGTGGGTCTGCGAGTCAGCAACCCCCTGCGGATCAAAGTACCGGTTAAGACGTCCAACATAGAACGTCGGGTGCGTCGTCATTGACTTTGGCAGGTCGATGGTGTACGACGCACCATGTCTGTCCAGGACTGCAAATGGTCCGATGTAGCGGTGCTTCAGCTTGTTGCTGCCGACAGAGCTGACAGTGTCAAGAGGTAGGTTCCTCGTGTCTAGTAGCACTAAGTCCCCCACTTTAAATACACTTAAGTTTCCTCTTCCATGTTTGTCGGAGTACTCCTTTTGTCTATCCTGGGCCGCTGCCATGGCATCGCGGACCCTGCTGACAACGCTCAGCTTGATATCCATAAAGGATCCCACCTGTTTCCGCAGCGAAGCTGGTCTCACATCCGAGACCTGGGAGGAAAGACCTTTCCGAGCCTCCCCCCCACTTAGAATAGAGGAGTCAGTGTCTCCTCGAAGGGTGAGAGGCACTCTGGGGTGACGAAAGCCGTTCAAGTAGAGCGGCGTGAGCCCCGTGGACGCGTGCACCGCGTTGTTGAGCGCAAACTTAGCAACTGGAAGCTGCGTCGACCCCGTACGTGGTGCTGCCGCGCACACACTGCGCAGAGTGTCCTCGAGCACTCGATTGACGCGCACTGTCTGGCCGTCTGTCTGCGGATGGTCCGCAGTGGACATCTGTAGACGGGTTCCCAGTAAAGGAAACAGCGTTTTCCAAAGCGCAGCCGTGACCGCGGGTCTCGGTCCGAGACAATCGTCTCCGGGAGACCGTGATAGCGGAACATGCCATCAACGAACAACCTTGCGGTTTGTTCGCCTGTAACAGTGACAGGAACCGGAGCGAGATGTACCGTCTTGCTCAGCCGACACACGAACACCAAAATTCC